CTGTAGGCCCTTTCCTATATATATTGTTGCTGGGACATGCTTTGGTACTTTTGAAATGGATTTGTTCAAAGGCCCTCCAGCCCTTGACACGCGAAGTGCGACGTCTTTGGTATGTGGGCGATTACATTATTCTAAAATCATTCTTACCGGGTGCATTACTCTGGTAGGTCTATCGAGGGTGACTACTATGAGCAAGATCCTCGATCCTTGACGCTCGTGATGGTAATAGATCTCTTATGTTTGTGTTTAAAAACACCACGAAGAGAGGCCTAACCAAGTGAGCTTTCCGCTTTCCACAGACCAATTATATGACACTTGGTGTATAGGGTGTTCGGGGCAACCCTGCTTGCCTAAAAATGTTTTTGCACATGACGATGTTCAGCTTCCAGCCTCGGCTTTGCCATGTTTATAACTGGCTCCACGCAATTATGCAAAAGCGAGTTCTTATTCCTTCCCAACAAAATTCGCTGCCATTTGTTAGCAACTTAAGTTTTCTCTTCAACTGCTCAATCCGTTGTTCCATTTCTCTGTAGTTAAGCTGAACCTCAAGATTAACCACAGTCTTCATAGCCTTTGAAGGCCTCATGGTCTGTGGTTCAATCTCCTTGTATCGGTTTCCTATTTCTCTTATTGGTTTACTTTTATCTGGAGATGACGCAGAAGTAACCTCTTCCGGTTTCCCTTTGTTTTCTTTATTCTGGGGAGCCGCTGATACCTTCAGAATTCTCCTGAATACCTCGGCTAGTGTTGCGCAGTGGTTAATAAATCTAACAAATGACATTGGTTGGTTGCTATATCGTGTAAATGGAAAAAGGAAAAACGGTCTGATCAGCTGCTCGGTGGCGTAGTGGGCAGCACGCTTGCGTTCTGCCCATGAAGTCCCGGGTTCGATCCCCAGTGGGGTTGATGGATTCGTACTGCTGATGAGACCCAAACAGGTCGAAACAGCTGTCCAGTGCTTCCTAGCTTTTCAGTTCACGTTTCGTTTGCCATATCCACGACGAATAACCTTTGAAATCAAATCAAATCCTCCATCACTCACTTAACATTGGTTGTATCAGAAATTTACCCCATGGCACTGATATCGTTTGTATACGAAAAGTTTGAAAAAAATATTTTTTTATTGAGTATTATTGATTGCCATTGTTGTGTTTTGGTTTGCTTTGTTCGCTCCATCGAGATAAGCTGGTTCATGTTTCATGCGCATTGTCTCGTAATCACCTGAAGGCATATATCTTATTTGGAATAGAGGATAAATTATAGTGCTTTGTCTCATTTATATTCCTAAAAAATGTCAATATTGTCGTTTATATTATTTATAGATTATCATGAAGCAAAGTTTACCCATTACCAAGGGGTTGTCAAGAAGTGCAGTTTATAAGCGTCTCCGAAAGGAAAGCGCTGTCATTTATGCACTGAGGAACGTAAAATGTGCTGATGCGGAACGTTGGTTAGAGGGTATGGATGAGTTTCATCAGTGCACACTTGTTAATACTCATTAGCTCCAGTTATAGATTCTAAGGAATCCGGTAAACTAGCCAAAGTATCAGAGAGTGCTGTTCGTCCCCTGGCTAGCTTTTCCACTAGTCTGAGCCTGCAGTATTGTCCACAAGTGATTGGATGAATCAGCCCATTAAGTGTAACTTGACGGAAGTTGTTGAGGCAGTCCATGAAGAAAACATTTCGCAGGTCGAATGTCAATATTTGTATTTGTGTAAAATCATCCTTCAAAATTGGCACGAAACCCCATCTTTTACGGTAATTGTTCGACAGATAATGTAGCAAACAAACATGCCGATGAATTTTGTGCGCGTTATGCTGCCTGGGTTCAAACAAATTCACCCGGAGCTTCCCAGGGATTCACGTACTTTATGGCATGCTCCCCGACGAACAATAAAACGTCTTGTCGACTCCGGTGTATGCATTCATTTTGGGTTGGAGGAAGGATTGCAATTAGTTGTTGCAGATCTTTGTGTTGTTAACCGCTGCATCCATATACAAGTGTATGCAGACGGTATGTTTAGTTTCCGCGGGTCTAACCAGCAATTTTGGCCCATATTGGGTCGCGTGTGCAATCCGATTTCACGAGTGTTCATCATAGGTCTTGAAAATGGAATGTCTCAGTCGAAGGATGCGGAATCATAACTATTAGATCTGATAGCTGAACTGAAACGTTTGTGCTTGGTTGGATTCAAAATCACCCGCAACAGTCAAACGGCGAAATGTCATAGCTGATGCTCCTGCAAAAGCTTCCATTAGACAGACCTAACACCATTCGGGGTATTCCAGCTGCATCGGATGTAATAATAATGTGTATATTTCACGGAGCCCCGTAAAGCATGCATAGACATGATCAGATGTACAACATAATCATCCGTTTAGGAGAAGCCCAAAAGGAAAATTTGAAGGTCGCAGTGAACATAATTACAAATGAAACACAAAGTGGACAAGGTATCAGAAAAAAAGGTTCGGGATGGCGGAATGCTCTAAAAGAGCAAGTCAGTGGAATTATGACGAAAAACAAGAATCGTTATACCGGATGAATGATGAGATAACTGGAAATACGGCAATCAGTGAGTAAAATAACAAGAGGTGGCCTGCAGATCGTTGGACGGGAATGGACGGAAACCGACACAAGAGTGGATAGGATGAAGCAGAACAGAGTGAAAAAGTCATTGAATTTATATGCACTGCACGTAGTGAAACAGATGAGTTCTGTAGGCTCTTGATCAATGGTCTCAGGGGCTCCGATCAGCAGTGGATTGCTTTGGGTTATTTACGTTATTTAAGCGTTAGTCGCTTTGATGTGGGACTTACTACATGCTTGACAACAAACCTTAAAACACCTTGTAGGTAAGGTAAGGGGTGCGTTCCTCAACCTGGTCCGGAATGCGGACGCATGTAGTCAAAGCGGTAGATACAGCCGCGCCAAACAACCATTGCCGGAGCCAAATTGTCCATTGCGGGTGTAGACCCAGAGCTTTCGTCAGGCCCAAACTAACCAAATCTGGAATAGGAAGGCGTACATCGGCACTCTGGGTTAATACCCAGGTGAGAAGGGATTGGGGAGAGAAATATTAAGAAGCTAACGACAAAATTTAATCGGGGTGGTTGCTTAGGTAATAATACTGGTAAAAGGATGTTATCAAAATATGTCTTGCTCTACAGATCCAAAATGGAGGTAGATACGTGTATTGGTAGAACATCAGTTGAGAAAATGTACACAAAGGGGGATCAGCGTCAAACGCTGTATGGTATTTCCTGATATCCAGTTCACTCGGCGAATTAATTACACATTTTGAACACGATGAAATGATGAACATCATGTCGATGACTCACCTTCTGAAGACCTTGAGACGGACATGATAAACTTTTTCCCCAACGACTATATGCATAGTGTTTTTCTGGGAATAATGAGAAAGACCTTTTAATCTGTGGCAAACATCTATCCCCAGTCATCATGTTCTCTTGGGTACTCGTCACATGAGTGCTATGAACCAGGGAATCGAAGGGCTGTTTACCCCGTGATTTTCCACGCGTCTGCCGGACATTGATGGATATACAATATTGGAAAGCTATTGAGTACAGACAATTAATGCTGTACATTGGTCCAGCTGTGATGAAAGATATTTTGCCAAACGAATACTATGAAAACTTCCTACAGTTTTTAAACATAGTTTACATTTTGTGCAGTCCAGTTTGGTGCACTGTGTATCTGGACTACTTAGACTAGCTAGCCCCAAAGACAATCCATCAGTTCATTAAGTTATACGAGTAATCAGAGGTTGTGTTCATGCTTGCATAATTGGCTGCACATTTGTGACGACGTTAAGTTGAACAGACCTTTAGACTCGTTCTCAGCCTTTCCTTCTGAATCTTTCATACAGACTATTCGACGATGCATTTCGAGTAGGAATATGGTTGCAGAACAGGTATTCCATAGAATTCCTGAACAATCGTTGGAGCCATTGCA